ACCTCTTTATTTCTTGTCTCACTTGGGTTAGAATTTCAGTTTTAAGTTCATCTATGAAGTCATGAATGTATTTAGGCCTGCTAATGTTGTGGCTAACACTGCATGATTGCTGGACTGGTTCTCTTCTGTATTTATCTCTTCTGGGCTTATTTTCCCAGGGTCAGTGGCTGGAGGTTTTGTCTGATCTTTTGCTTTTGTCATGTTTTTGGTTTCTTTCAGACACATGTGTGGAGGAGGTCTTAGGCCGTCTCTATATTCCTTACAGTTTTTCTAAAGCGTGCTGGCTAGGGGCTTGCTGCTCTTTCCAGTTTGCTGACATCTGAGGTGGCGCACAGGGATGCTCTGGGTTGGCTCCTCACTCTGAGGCAGTCAACCTATGACTGCCTTCAGCACTTTATGCTGTGCTGTGGCAGAAGTCACAGGGTCAGAACAATTTCATCCCTGACTATTGGTTCCCGACCAGCGGCGTGGTTCAGCCCAAGCTGCTCCCACCAGTCTTCTCTGGGTCAGGGGTTGTTGACTGATGCCACCGCAGCACCGGGCTCTGCCCTATTCCAAGATGTCTTCCAGTCAGCCTCCCACTCTGCGGGACCCAATTTCCAGCACTCACCGAGAGCCAATAAAGCTCTCTACGTTGGCTCCATTCCACACTGTGCCACATCCTCCTGCCAAAGGCCCGGACTCACCAACTCTCATTATTGGCAGCTGTGGCTTCAGTGCAACCTTAAATCGTCCGTCTCCACAGCATGCCCAGCACAACACAGAACGGCTCTCAGTGAGCTTGTCGGGCTTCAGCCCTCCATCCACGCTTTTCCTAATTTTATTTTTCTTTTGGTTTCCTCCTGGGTTAGTGAGAATCGTTTTCCAGTCATCTTGCCCTCTCCATGTTGTCAAATTCTAGCATCTGGGCTGTTTTCTCCAGAGAGGTTCTCTATACAGCTTCCTAGAAAGCCATTTTTTTTTCCAGCTTAGAAGAAATAAACTTTAAAATCACTGAGATAAAAACACATTTCAAGCACTTAATGTTGCTTGGTAAATAATCTTGGAAAAATTGGAGAAGCTAAAATCTGCCTATCCTGGAAGGATAAATGAAGTTGCAAGATGTGAAAAGCATTTGTCTTGTTCAAGAAGACACAACGCAGGGATGAAACCTGCTGGTAATGTATTTGAGATCAATATTAGCATTTATTATTTCACTGTCTGAAAATGTATGCATAAATTTGAATTCATAGAGTAATATTTTATCACAGAATACTGTTTAGTTTAAAAACAGGAAAGAGACAAATGCTAAGCTCAGTTGTTTACAATTACAATTTTTTTTAATTTTAAAGAGGATAAAGCCAGCAAAACAAAACAGATTAAAGCCAATCAAAACAAACCAGTCTAAGTGACACAAGACTTCAAAACAATATGAAATCAGAAATGGTTACCATAATGACTCTTGTCTTCAAAATAGCTGCAGATACCTTCAGACATAGTAAAAATCCAACAAAACAGAATATAACTAATAAAAACAAAACAACGAGGGCAATAGGACTTCAAAACAAGACAATAGTAAATCCAAAATGGTTTTCATAATATATCTGGCTGTCTTTGAAATAGCCATTGAACATGCCATCGAATATAACAAAATCAAACAAAACAGAACAGAGTAAAACCCAACCAACCAAAACAATGAAAATGACACAGGACTTCAAAACAAGATAACAAGGAATTAACAATGGCTACCACTTTCAGAAGGAGACCCACCCATACTGCGTACTGTGATCCCCTGAAAAAAAGATCAGACCACTGGACTTAGACCTGCAAAGCAGTGAAACACCAAACACCACCAGCATTTCACCTGAGTAGCTATCATCACAGCCTGTGTTACCCTGGATAAGCTGGTTGCTTATGGGATGATGGGAGATGTCTCTTTTTGATTCCCGGCCCTTGCACCAAAAGCGGCTGGGGTCTGGCTGTCCCCCTGGCTGTGGGGGCCCACGCATGGTGCTGGTTCTCAGGGAGGGCTTGCTTCTTGGTGCCTTCTTGTTCTCTTCCCCTCTGTGAATGGCACTGACACACGGGAAGTGACAGGGATCTTGGTTGTTTACAATTCTTATATCACTGAATCTCTGCTCTGTAATATTTTAAATCCAATGCAAAACATAAATTAACTCAATTCTTTGGGATATCCAGAATATTGGAAAGGTAGAAGAAAGGTTCTCTAAATGTGTTTAATTGTATTAAATCTGTGTAAACTTTTTGAGGTTAATGTGTAGGATTCTGAAGACTACAAAAATTTCATGCTCGGAGTACAATTTACTTTTTATTTTAAAAGTGTATACAATTAAGGAATCGCAGGAACTCAAATTCATTATTTTTCTAACAGGTGAGACATGAAGCAAGTCCCAAGGGTTGATATGTATCACTTGTCTGTGTGGTAACCTCATTTGGAGTAACAGTCTTAAGATTGCTATTAAATATTAAAGAAGAAAGACTTACCTGTTTGGGATCTGGTTTCACAAGTTTTTAACAAATCTTACTGTCTGCTTTTCTAGTCTTAAATCCTATATCTACGCAGCTAAAGGCGATGCCATACACTGAAATTTCCTGTCGAATGTCTGCAAATATAGGCACACCTAGAGATTTTAGTTTCCCTCTTTACAGTTTCCCAAAATGTAGATTACCAGCCTGGGGCAGTTGCATCATAAATCAAAAGGAAGTTTTCTTACCTGGTTAGTTTAAATTAGTCCCTTTTCCAAAACAGGTAATGTGGGAAATGATGGAGGAAGAGAGGAAATAATGAAGCACAGTCTGTAGTGTGACCCTCAGCACCTCGATTGGCATCCTGAATTGATTTTGCATGCTGAAGACGCTAACACAGGTCTCATCTGTGTTTATGATCAGAAATTAACACTTCAAGATTTCCAGTCTCTTCCAGATGCCTGATGTGTGAATTAATTGACGTGAGGTGGGGAAAAAGGATGACATTATATTGTGACTCAGTCTATCATCCCCAGGCCCCTGGGTCTGAGCTCAACACAAGAAGGAAGCAATAAGAAAAGCTAAGGAATCTTTTCAGTGAGAGATAGTAAGTAGTATTTGAAGACGGAAATGAGAAACCTTTTCACTTCTTTATTTGCGTAAATGTGCAAATCTTTGTCAGAGTTATTAGTACTCTGAAAGTAACAATCACACAGAGAACTGGAGATATATATTAAAGCAGTTTTATGGGCAATGCACACTGATGGTGTGGGTGCTGGAGCAATACAACCAGCAGATCAAATCAGATAAGATAATTCTGACACACTTGATCACCCCTACTTAGAAGGTTTTCTTTGTAAACCTTTTGCTTACCGTAGTGAGTATATGAAGTGAGCCAAATGTCATATGCTGGGCAGTGTAGTTAAGAAGTACAGGATTATGAGTCAAACTGAATTTAATGTGTTTTTATTTCTGTATTAGTCACTTGCTTATAGCTGGGAAAAAACATGCAACATGCAAAATTTAAAGCAAGAGGGGTTTATTTGGCTCATGTTCCAGAGTGTTCAGTCCATGGATGGTTAACTCCAACACAGAAACAGAATGGTGATGAAAGGGAAAACTGTACTAGGAAAAAATTAATCTTTTAAAACATGGTTCTCTTTGAGGCTTACCTAGCTCTGAAAACTGTTCTGTGGCTCTGCAATTGCTTTATTGACTCCTGTAACCATGACAGCATAACCAAACCTGATTAAACCTGATTGTATAAGCTTTGTAGTTATTAACCTGGTGTTGTAACTGATGATCATAAATGTAGCCTCAAACTGATGATCTCGCCCTGCCAGCTAATCAGAACTGTCAGGCTATCCTGCCCCACCTTTGTACCCACTGTTTATGTCTCACATTAAAATGCTGGCTCACAGACACTCACTGCCTGGCTTTCTGTTGGGAGTTATTCCAGCTAGGACCACTAATGTAAAATAATGTTGTTCACTGCCTCTTGACTTTCTCGGGTATTTTTCCTTTCCTGGACTCAGTTTTATACATGGCAGAAGAACACTGATCAACTCTTGAAGCCTATAAGCAGAGAGAAGGGAGAGACCAAGGACAAGAATTCACCCTTCCACATCACTACCCTAGCAATCCACCTTTTTTGACCAGGTCTCACCAATGAACATGAGATTTGGGGAGATATTTTAGATACAAACCATAACAACTTGCTATCCTTGAAAAGTGATATTTCAGGAATGTAAGCCACATATATTATTTTCCTTATTGGTTTACAATCCTATGTCGTCTTGAAGTCCTAAAATAAATAGAAAGTGTAAATGCCATACAATCCCTTTTCTACCCTTTCCACATTTTACTCTTTCAGGGTGTTGTTCTAGAAAGGGATTGGTGGTATGGTATGCAAAGATGAAACTAACATATCAGATATACAGTGTGTGCTTTCTTTAGTGCATGTAGGTGACCAAAGTCCTCTGGGGTAATCAGTACACCTGCCCATCTTATCATTCACCCAAAACACTACCATTTTTTCTCTCTAAGCACCAGGTCCAACAATAAACTACTCAGACAAAGTTAACTAGACCTTCCCCTAAACATGTACTGGTCTGATGGAATGAATTAGCCATTGTGGTTGGAGTCTTTGTACTTTCTGCTAGATGGCTCCTGGAAAATAAGAGAGACAACCAGTCTTTTTGTATCTTTCTCCTCTTAGTAGGGGATACCCCAACACACATCTGAACTGCCACCAGGACAGGACATAAAATCAAATCAGTGAATCTGTGACACTTCTCAGCTCACCTATTGTCAGTGTGGGACAGTATGTTTGTATGCACATGGTCCAGGGGGTAAGTGTAGAATATATATAGAAGCTCTGGATTCAAAGTTAGAGAGAAAACTTGTTCTATTCTATTCTGTGGTTGGATAAGTTAGCTTTTTGTTGCTATGACCAAATACCTGAGAAAAACTTATTGGCAGTTGAGTCTAAAAGACTTATCAAATAGCCAATTGCAGACAAATCAGAACACTGCTTTATGTTATATCGCATGTAAGATATTTATTAATAGAAGTATTACTTTTTTCAGGAATTCAAATTGTGTACACTGATGTTCTTAAATACATACAACACTACTTATAGAAAATAAAAACAGTTTTTACCATTCTTCAAATTTTAATTGTTGTTTTGAAAGTTGTATTTTATAATTTTTAATTGCTTAATAACAAGAGTCCATATAAGTTTAATTAAGCTAATCTCCATTTGATCACAATCTAGAAGAATAAATCAGCATTCCATTCTCTCTCTTTTGCCTCTCTTTACTGATGAAACAGTTATTTTTGTAAACAAGTGCTGAAGATATCTATATTTTAGTTTCTAGCACATTGTACAGTATTCCTTTTTCTTCTTTATATGCCATTTTACAGCTTCAGAGAGGGCAGAATGAAGATAAAATAGCTCCACGTGCTCCCTGAAAGTCATATACTGTGGATGTCAAATTCCATTGGTTCTCTTAGGCATGTCTCTTCAAGGTTTGACACATTCTCTGTTCTTTTTTTTCAAACCACATTGCAACCTAGGTTAATGTGACAACTGAACTCATTCTGTGTGGAGCACTGTACATTGAAGATTGGCTGGAGAGGAGAAAGGAGACAGCAGAGACAGACACAGGAGAGACAGAGGTGGGAGGCTGGGCAGCCCTGTATTGGCTTTGGTCTCTCAGTCTTTTCATGATACAGCACCTTACTGGCTATGCAAAGCCCATCAGTTCAGACCCTAAAATGACTCCACAGATGGAAAGATATTAGAGAGCTGAGGCACAGAAGGATTCCCCCATAACCCTGACCCAGTAGTGTGGCCAGTGCCCTGGTCCACACATAGGCTATATCAGTTGTTAATATTTTGAATACCAACTTGGTGGAAGGTTTCAACCCCTTCCAGCAGTAACCCTATGGGCACTATGTTCCTATTCCTTGCTCTGTGTCTAATCCAGAGATGCTGCAGGGATGAGGTTTCCAGAGTCCAAGTTCCTCTTCAAGTCTTTGTCTGCTTGTTGCATTTCTCCATTCAGCTCTTGAAGAAATGCCAAGAGATCCAAAGCTTCAGAATTGGCTTCATTTTTAGAAAGTTGACTTTGGGCAATTTTTTGCAGTTTGTCTTTCATCTTCTCTCTCTTCTTTGATTCCACGTTAATTTTCACGCCCTCTATAAAATGCTGGGTGGCCTTGGTGACACATTTCATGTTGCACAGCTGAAAGTTGCCGTACCGCAGATGGAGCTTTTGTTTAGCCACAGGAGTGAGCTCCTTGCTGAATTCTTTTTGGAAGTAATACTCTGCTTTCTCGTAGGCATCTGCATTGTTGTACTGACCTACTATAGCATAGAGAATGGCAATAAATGAAGAAATACAGAAGAAATTCACATTGCTCTCGCTGGCTTCCTCTAAATGCTTCAGAGCCAGTTCTGTTTGTCTCAGTAACTTCTCTCTTTCTGCGTATGTTTTATTCTCTTTCTTCTCCAGCATTTGAAGGACTTGTGACCGATAGCAGTTCCCAAGATAGTAATGTAGATAAGGGTTTTGTGGCCTGTGTTCTAGAGCCTTTCCAAGCTGTGTTATGGCTTTGTGCCAGACCTTTTTATTGTGATAATACTTTGCTGCACTGCCCAGGACATCTGTTGCATCTGGGGCTTCTTTTAGGGCTTCTTCGACCAGCCTCTCTCCTTCATCTTCCCCATCTTCTAACTTCACCTTTTCAAGTTTCAGAGCCAAGAGAACTTTAATGTACTGGTTGTCAGGATTTAGCCTGATGGCTTCCCTCAGAGGGTTAATGGGGTGCTGGGATGGTGGCCAATTGTTCAGACGGGAGCTTGCGATAGCCCAGCCAGAGGTGAATTCTGGGTTTTTTGGTTTCTTTTCCAAAGCCTCCTCAAAACACACCTTTGCCCTTTCTAATTGCTTTATTGTACACTTTAGCCGGGCCCACCCTTCTTCAGCATGGAGCTCGGGACTCTCCATTCTATAGGGGTTAAAAAATTCGGCACAGACCTGTTTCACCTTGTCCACATAAGTCTGAGCATCTTCGAGCTGGTCCATGTGGTAGTAGATCCATGCGTAGTTTCCCCAGGTGACCAGACTTCGGATTTTTGCTTGGCTGGGGTGTTCTTGCTTGATTATCTCTTCAGCCTGCTTTAAGCATTGCAGGGCTGCCTCATTTTGTCCTCTGCGGTGCTTTATATAGGCCAATACATTAAACATTGTGGCTTTAAATCCGCAGTTCTGAAACTCATTCTTGTACAACACTATGCTCTCGAATTCATCCAAAGATTTCTCCCCTAGCAAGTTCCAGGTGAAATGACATTTTAATCGCTGTAGGCTGCTCTCCAAGGAATTTTCAGTGGTCTCACTGTAGGGAAAAAAGAGTAAGATGGGCACGTTGAGACACAGCACCAACTCATTTGTCAAAGAACAAAATCACAGAAAATTATTTTCTTAAATTCAAGAGAAACACCTTTGCCCACATTCTCCTCTTTTTCTTTCTTTCATGGTTTTGGTGTATGTATTCATTCCTGCATGGGAAAGCATGAATTTGCAGACTATGGCAGAGGAAGAATTACAGAGAGGGAGGTGGCTCAGAGCAAGCCAGATGGTCAGTTGGCTCTACTACAGGGTCTTTGCAGGGCTTGTTAAATCTGTGGGAGATGATTTCAGCAGACATTTGTTTTAATTTATGTTATTTTTAGAACAGCTGTAAGTCTATTTAACTGCTTTTTTTTCATTCTTACCATGTTTACTTTTATATTTTTAAAACTTACCTTAATTTGCTAAACTTTCGGTGTTTTGCTACGCTGATTTTAACTTCCTTGTTATTGCTCTGAACTTCAGTACCATTATATCCTTTTTATTCTTTATTGTACTTTTTTTTATTTTCCGGTTTTGTTTTGTGCTTTTGGAAGAGTGTCTCACTGTGTAGTTCAAGGTGGTTTCAGACTTGTGATTTAGTCTGGGATAGACTTAAATTTGTGATCCTCCTGTCTTATTCTCCTGAGAGCTGGGATTACAGTGTGTTCCAGCAGACCCAGCACCTTCTGTATTTTTAACTCCTTAGTTTCCTTTATTTATTCTTTAATTTTTTTAACTTTTTATTCCTTCTAATTATTTTGGCTTTTAATAGGCTTAGTAGGTTTTAATGTACAGCAAGTTTTTGAGCTTTTGTCAAATTGGTTTTGCCTTATCTTTTGTTTTTTAACACTATATGCTCTCATTTTGGCCACTGAATTTTCCTACTTCAATCATTTAAGTCTTGTTTTCTTAAATTTTATTCACTCCCTTTGCTTTTGTGATATTCTTAACTTTTCTATTATAACAGACATTAGTAATGTCTTGAGTTTTTATTTTGAAATAAAATATAATCATTTTTGTTCCCTTAATTCTGCTTCTTAGACTGGTAATTTTTATGTTTAATGTGTGTTGTTGAGTTGATTTATTAATAATTTTTCATTTTTGTCTAATTTTATTGGCATTTTATTTTTGTCTGCTAGGACTTAATTTTTTAATAGTGTTACAGGCAGCTGCATTACTTAGAAATATTACAGGCAATGAGACAAGTCTTGGTCCTCAAAGGGACCAGTGCAATTATGGGGGAGACAGCTATCTCCTGCTGTGGGCCAGGCCTCAAGACAAAAGATCAAACAAATGCACCCACATCCTAAGGACCCATATTCTAAATAGGTCTCTATCACCTTGAGAAAGCCAAGAGTCACCATTCCAGCCCTCTAAGGGAGGAGTCACTGCTCTTTAAGCATGCCACTTGCTATGTGACTTGCTTCTCTTTTGGCCCCCGATTTAATCAGTTTCACCTGAGCAATTAATCTTATTGGTTAACCATAGTTCTGTCCCAGTTTATGCTCATCTTGTGAGTTCCCAAGTTTTCCCTATCTTAGACCCCTTTCACCTTGTGATTTTGCTCTATAAAAGTTGCTAGGAAAGACAGGGTCTTTGGCAACCCACTTGGGACCCCTTATGTCTCCCTCAGACAGAAGCTTTCTTTCTCCCAGTAAATACATTCTGCTCTTAATCTCTGCTATTCCTAAAATTTATTCTTCAATTTTAGAGAACACAACTCATACTGGACATATTGTAGGTTGAGTGTCTCATTCCCCTATATCAATATGATATGAGAAGTGTTGTTGGAGGGGCAGCTAAGGGGCAACTAGCTCCTTTTATTATGGGAAGAGTTCTTTTCCCTTTAGGGTATAATTCTTTTTAAAGATTTTCCATTCTCTTAAAGATTCCCTTCACGGTTGATGCTCTAAATAAGTAAATAAGCAACAGTAATAAAAACTAGCAAATAAGGGGCTGGGGATTTAGCTCAGCGGCATAAGTGCCTGCCTTGCAAGCAAGCATTCGTGAGTTCGATCTCTGGTACCGATAAAAACGAAAATGACAAAAAATAAATAAATAAATAAAAATAAAAAAATAAAAAAACTAGCAAATATACAAATGAACAAAAATATGTTTATGCATTTGAGTTCCTGAAATGTTCCCATTTTCTCACTTAAAAGGTTTCATGGTATCTATGCATCAGCCCTTTTATCATGAGTGAAGTATTCTAAATATTATGACTTTTGATGTATGCAACAAAAAGATGTCTGGAAAGTCATATAAAGTGGCCAATATCACTTTTGAACTTTATGTCTAGATGGAAGACAGCACAGTCTTTCTACCCGATCTCTTTTACTTTTTAATAACACACTACCTCAAGCCACACACATTTTGATTGGGCCAAAATTGGGCCAAGCTGGAAATAAAACTGAGGAGTAGGAAGCCTGGGCAGATGTTCACATATTAAGAACAGTGGTGTGCATACTGGGTGTCTGATGGTGATCTTATTCTGTAGGAATCATCAGATCCTCTACTGTGTGCTGCACAGAGTGTGATCAGATGAACAGGGAGAACTAACAGGTTCTGTGTCCCAACTGTTTCATCCTTGTCTTCTTGAAGTCCCTGAAGACCTGTCTTCAGATCCTGTGAGGCACATTAGAAACTTTAAATCAGTTCCTGATCGTTTCTGTTTCTGAGGACATAACTACCACCAAAGTAAAGAAAAAATCAATAGTAGGAAAAATAGACAGGGAGTTTTGGGGAGAACCCTCCATTCTTTTAATGTCCCAAGCAGCTCTTAGCAAAGAGGAAGTAATAACTAACTCCACGGGAAGAAGCCCAAAAGAGAACTGACTTGGTATCGGACATCCTACAGACAACGTCGTCGCCTTGCAACATTCACGTCTAATCTTCTTTTTTTTTTTTTTTTTTTTTTTTTTTTTTTAATTTAAGGAGAAAAGAAAAAAAAAACAGTGAAGGCGTACAAGTTATACAGATTTACAGAAGAAAAAAATGCGCTGTAGGAAATCACTAGTTAATGGATTACATATTGCCATCTTAGAAATAATTGTTCAAGTCACAAAATTAAAGCTTGTAGAGTGGACATTCCAACAATGATACTGCAAACAGTTCTGTTCAATGATCCAATAAAACTCTGTGATATCATTTTCTATCTTATACACTTAAATATACACGCAGTTATATAGTTTAGAGCACTTTCTTTTCCTCTCTTTTGTACAATGACTATTACACATTTTGGGTTTCATTGCTCCCACGGTTCTTATTGCTTTTTTGGAAGAGAGTAAAACCAAATGTGACATAACAGAACAGAATCGGTCAAGTCAAAAGGGTGGACATAATAGATAATATAAAAACATAATACAAGGTGATCAACAATGGTTACCATAATGCCTCCCACTATCTCTAATAGAATTGCCTATATCATTAGTTGTAATACAATTGAACAAAACCGTAAAGAATAAAACCGACAAAACCAAAACATTGGGGACATTGTAGGTCTTCAAAAGTAGATAAAAGTCAATGAGAATGGGCGTTATAATGAATCTCATTATCTTCTCAGCTGATGCCTAAACTTTCGAACCTGATCTTATTTTGCTTCTCAATGAGGTTACAGAAAGTTTCTTAAGAACATGAACTCTTCTGCTGCTTTCCAATTTTATAAAAGAAACAGAGTGATGGAATAGAGCTTGTCTCCAGAGCTGAGTGTAATAGTACAATGGCTATAATCCCTACTACTTGGGAGGGTGAGGCAAGTTTGAGGCCAGCATGGGCAACTTAGTGAAGCCATTTCAAAATAAAAAGGGCTGTGAATGGCTTTGTACAGCATCCCTGGGTTCAGTTGCCAATATTGAACAAACAAAACAAAATACGATCAATTGTGCATTTCTAGGGTACAGATATTTAATGTATATCTTTATGTAAAATTCCTCAGAACACCCATTCAAAAGTTATCTATTTTCACTGCTTGATTTTTGGCTTTTATTTCCTCTGGTAAATCAGTGAACCTGGTTTCTGATATTAGTATCATGGGCTCAGAGTTATAAGGCTTATGTTACTGATTCTCACAGTTTAAATAGTTTATACTGCAACAATTCCTTCACCAGCTTCTTGTCTGGATGAATGTCATAGTAACATTATTCACTAGGCTCAGAGAGGCCACCAAAATGTCTTGGAGGAGTCTCAGCATCAATGAGGAGGTCAATTAAAATGTGCAACCTCAGATCTCAACCTGGTCTAATAAACATATTCTAAGGTGATAGGCTGGAGAGGTTAAGCCTTGGAATCAGTCTCTTGCAAAGTTCCATAGATGATGTTTTTGCATGCTTAAGTTTGAGAACTATTGTCTAGTGACACAGAGGGAATACTCTAAAGAAAGACTATAACTTCAGATTCAAGGGAAATGAAAATAGGGACTGACTGAATTTGTATTTTTAAAAAATTCTAAAATAATATTATGCTAAAAAATTCTAAAGATGTTAAAGATTCTGGATGACTGTAAAAGCATAAATCCACAAACATCTCAAACCTTGTTTTCCCTCTATCAGGTAAGTGTGGACACTAGCAGAAAAGATACGATTTCAAGAAGGAGATTAGGAGCCTTACAGAAAGCGAGGAATCCGAACTAACCACTAGGACAAGTATTGCCAGATTCCAGAACTCTCTGGACCAACGCTTAAGAAAGCAGGTCCAGTTACTCTACCCTTTAAACTGGAGAAAACAGGAAGCTCTCTTATTTCCCAATAAACAAACACTTCCTCTCCAGAGCAATCTTAGTTTCTAGCAAATGGATTTTAGAAGCACTCTTTTCTCCATGCACTCCATCTCTAATGCATGCCTCAGATAAAAATACCCTAACAGATTTACTTTCTTTTTTATTTTCTGTTCTTGGGTTTGAACTCAGGGCCTTCACACTGAGGTACATCTTTAGCTCTTATTTCTTTTTCTGTTTGAAACAGGATCTCACTAAAAGTTGATCAATTACCCAGGCTGAGGTTAAATTTGCTATCTTTCTGACTAAGCCTCCCAGAGTGCCGAGATTACAGGTATGCCTACCACACCCAGCTTCAATCAGTTTGGAGATGAAAATATTTCTATTCAGTTACTAGCCCTAATGAAGATCTGAGATGAACAAGTTCCATACTAAAGAAAGGTTTAAAGTAAAATTCACTTTAGCTGGAAGCAGGATTGCTGTTCTGCATACATCTTTAAAAATGCCTACTGAAAAGAAACCTTTTATTAAATAATATTTTTGTTGAAAGCCCCCAACTTAAATCTTTCAAACAGAAAGCAAAAGACGGACAGGTCACAAGAGCAGTCCCCTGAGAGCCATCTTTACATGTAAGTGCCCCCAGATTCACCCTCTCTCTCTGCCAGTTTCTGAATCAGACCTCAGATCTCTGCTTTCCTAAGTGAGCAGATCTGAAGGTACCTTCAGGAAGTTAGACTGTGTGACTTACAGGAGGAAACAAATGGGCATTGATAAGACATTCGTGGCTACAGAGTTAGAGATGTAATAAATCTATAATCAAACGCTAACGCAGAACCGGCCTTGCTTGGGAGTATGGCTGTTTAGGATTTGCATTAGATGACAAGAGTTATTCTACATTTTCAAAGTGACCGGAGAAAGGAGAAGCTTTACCTCATGATTGCAGTGCAGTTCTCAGCTGGGCCCACAGGCTGCGGTTCAGGCTGCTGTCTCTTCAGAAATTTTTCTGCTCTGCCTCCAGTGAATGTTCAAGACTATATATAACAGCATCTTTGGTTTTTGTTTCTGTTTCCCTATGGTTGGCTTTATGGAGCACAAACAGCAACAGGAAAGTGTAACTGCAGGACTCTTTCCAAAAATAAATCTTGTGTAAGAGCCAAGCCTGTGCAGTGAGTCAGAAATCCTTCACTTGCAATAACAGTCCTGTGCTCCCCCAACTATGTTACTCAGAGGAGGAGACAAATGGGCATTGATAAGTTATATTTCCAAAGCAGCTTTCCTCATTATTACCATGGTAACCGGTTCTCATCCTTATCACCCTTATGACACATAGGCCACTATACAGAACTGTTAAGGTTTGCAGTGTAAGGATTTTAGACTACTTCATTCACTGTCAGAGCTCCAGTTCTTGCACTGCACAGTGTGGTAGGTATTCAAAAAGAAATTGTTGAATGAATGAGCACATTGTTCAAAGCATGGGTGCTGATGTCAGTCCGTCTGCATTTGGAATTCGGATTTATTTATAAACCATGAGAATCAGATTATTAAATGTCTCTGCTTCCATTTCTTCTATTAGGAATTGGGAACAAAACTGCTACTAATTCAGTGATGATGGAAGGATTAAATGAGTGAATGCACAAAATATTCTTAGAACAATGCCTGACAACTAGGAACTATATGCAGGTTTTTGTTGTAGTCCGGGTTTACAGAGGAATAGATTTAATACAGGATACATAATTCATAGGATTATTTTATAATATTCACCCAAGGAATCAAATGCAGAAGAATGTTAGAAATCTGTTTACACACTAGAGACCCCAAAAAATCCAGTTGAAGGCCTGCATACCATAACAATGTCCTGCATGAGTCCTTATGAAGACCTAGAGCTTATGGCAATGTCCTCCACAAAATCAGCTGGAGGCCTAGAGCCCATGCCAATGTCTCATGTGAGTCTGTTTCACAGATCTGCACCAGGAAGGCCCAAAGTCAGTAGTGGAAGCTAGACAGTCTATACCAGTGGAATGAAGGGGTCTGTACCAGAGGCCTGAGTGCACTGGTCGGGAGTGATGCTTACCGTAAACATCAGAGTTCCTCCAAAGAGAACTGTAGTCATCCTCAGTGACAGCAAGGTCCTGAGTGCATCTGATGTTGAGAACCGCTGAGTTCATAATGGGAAAACCAGCATGACGAGTTTCTCCAAGAGAATCAACAGCACACCGTCTCCTCCTGGAGGATTGTTGGGAACAATCCTCAGGTGGTTCTTCCACACCTAGTGCCACACTCCTTCAGTGGGTGACGTTTAACACCCAGTAGCTGAGTGTTAAAGTTGACAATTAATTTACCACACTTTTATTATAATTATAATGAATAACTAAAATCTAATAGCTAACAAGCCAAAGAGACTAGAGAAGAACTTGAAATTTGCTTTTTTCCAGAGCCATAAGTCTTCTGATATCCCATGATCCGTATAACCACTACTTTAAACCAAACAACTTCTAACATCCATGTGTGTTCTTTGCTTCCATAAGATCTACAGCATTTTAAATTCCTGTGTTTAACACCTTAGTATTTAGCATTCACACATCACAGGGACCAGTCACAGTTATTTGCAATGATAAACAAATGTGTTTCCCTTATTCATGTCCATTAATCATGGTTGTCAACTGGACTAAATTGAGAGATACCTATTAAACTGATAAAGCACATTTTTGTATGTGACCTTAGAGTATTCCTAGAAATGATTGATAACAGGTCAGAAAAATGAATAAGAAAGCCCCACCCTGAATGCAGACAACACCATCCAATAGGCTGGATGCCCAGATGAAAGAAAAAGCTGAAGAAACGCAAAGTTTGCATGACACCACACCGAACTCTTCCCGCCACCGCTGCCTGCAGATACCGAACTCCAGTTTCTTCTGATTTTAAATGCATGTTTGTAATGCATCCAGGGGCTCTCAGGCCTTGAGTTGTGGACTGGGACTATATTATTGGCCCTGCTTGTTCTAAGGTTTCTGACTTTTGTTTTTCCAGTAACACTGTTCATTGATTAAAGAAACGGTTTGCTGCTATCTAAAATTTCTTAAACATCTTTAAAAATTCAAAATTGATATTATTCTGAACCTTAAATTTTCAATAGCTCAAAGAGACTTTCACCTGTATAGTGCACAATAGATGAAATTTAGCTGCCATTCGTAGAGTACCAACAGTAAGTCCACCAAGATGCACACAAAATTACAGAGGAGCATTTCTTTCACTGTTTTGTTGTGCAAGAAAAAAACATTTATGGAAGAAATAGAAACTCAGTTGATGAATTGCACATGTCATCACCTTCTTCTTCATCTTGAGAAGATCCCGCCAGATTAGATGCACTGGCTGAGGCAGCAAAATTTGGCTTCTTGGGAAGCTTGCTGTATTTGAAGTCATTTGTGTTGAGCCACTTCTGCGTGGTGCTGATTTATGCAAATAATTCCTGTTGCTGTCCAGTAACTTCTTCAGAAATGCCAAGGCTTTGCAGAGGAGAACTGGCTTGTCTTCCTTTTAATGCTACTACCTTACATTCTTTTTTGGGGGCTTTTTCCTTTTCATCAGTACCAGGGATTGAACTCACGACTGCCTGCTCGCAAGGCAGGCACTTATGCCGCTGAGCTAAATCCCCAGCCCCTACCTTGCATTCTTGTAAGAATTCTTTTACTTCACTAATGTAAGAGCCAAATCCCAAACTTGCTAGTGCTCTAAAAAAGAACAAAACAGTATCTACCTCTCACTGGATTAGGATATTGAGAAGAATAAATTAATATAAAAAACTTAGAACACAGGCTAGCCCCTCAGAGGAAACAAAATTAAACATACATTAATACATGTCTGGGCTGTAGGAACCAACAATGAATACAGACTGTTAACACAGTGTCTTGCATCAAACAATTACCTAACCAACTTATAATATGTTCCTCACTTCTATTTTTTCTCTTAAATTTACAAGAGTAACCTAATAAATTTCTAAAACTAAATAGCTATACTTTATGACATTAAATTTAAGTGGAAGTATATTTATATTATAATATAATAAATTTACAAAATTAAGAAATCAACACAGTAGAAAATCCTTCAAAGTTGCATCAATTACTAGACATTAAGAAAATACAAAACCGTTTCTCAGATGAAGAAATACAAATGGCAAATAAAAGCATGAAAAAATGTTCATCATCATTACTCATTAGAGAAATGCAAATTAAAACCACACTGAGATTCCATCTCACTCCTGAAAGAATGGCCAGGATCAAGAAAACCAACAACAACAAGTGCTGGAGAAGCTGTGGGGAAAAAGGAACTCTCCTGCACTGTTGGTAGGAGTGTAGATTGGTACAACCATTGTGGAGGTCACTCTGGAGATTTCTGAAAAAGCTGGGATTGGAAGTCCCATTCATTCCAGCTATTCATCTTCTAGGCATATTGTCAGAAGAACTGAAAACATCATACCACAGTAATTTTTTATGTGCACCCATGTTTATAACGGCACAATTTGTAATAGCCAGCTTTTGGAAACAAGCTAAGTGTCCATTAACTGAGGAATGGATAAAAAAAGTTGTGGTATTTTTATACAATGGAGTACTACTCAGCTATAAAGAAGGATCACATTGAGACATTTGTAAATAAATGGGCGCAGCTTGAGACATAAGTGAAATAAATCAAACTCACATGTATGAATACCGAATAGTTTCCCTAGTGTAATAAATGATACAAATACATAAAAATATGTGGTAATCATGATTCCCCTTTTATGGCTTTGAAGCCTTATAAAGTTTTCACTCATTAACTGGAATGGTTTTATTCTGGGCTGTTTGATATTATTGTCTGTGATGATATGAATGGCTATTTTGAAGAAAACAAGACATCATAATAGCTAGTGCTGATTTAATATCATCTTGTTTTGAAGTCTCATAAAACTATTGTTCTGTCTACATTGCTTTTATCATGTTGTATCTTATTGGATTTTATTATATGTGATACTATAAACAAATTTTTATAGGCAAAGAGATAACATAGAAACCATTGTTCGTTTTCTGCTAGCTGGTTCTAAATACCCTATAATACTTTCATCCTCTTGAATGGTTTCACACTGTCTTGATATATTTGATGCTATAGTATACGAAGTTATACTCAAATATTTCAAGGAAAGAGACACTATGGTAACTACAATAAGGTCGGGTTGTCTTGTGGTGAAACGTTATGTTGCTTAAATTGTTCTGTTGTAACGTGTATTGTTATGTTTTTTTGTCCTCTTTTATCTCAATCTCCCTTTTTTAAAAAAATTTATTTTTTTAATTAAGGGAAAAAATTTTTTTAAATTAGCAGGGCATGTTATAGGAACTTTTTTGTTTTCCTATTAACCTGATTTGAAGCCCTGCATAGCACTCACCATCTTGTTTTGACTGATTTTACCCTATTCTGTTCTGTTCGATAGTATCAAGTTTGAGGGTAGGAAACTACTTTGAAGGCAATAAGGTTCACTATGATTCCCATTCTGGTTTGACTATTATCTTCTTTTGAAGTCCTGTAATGTCTCCAATGTTTCAGTTTTATTGGTTTTGTTCTGTACTGTTTTGTTCAATTTTATTATACCTGATGACATAGGCAATTCTTTTTAAGGTAGCAAGAGGCATTATGGTAACCATTGTTGATTACCTTGTATTCTGTTTTTACATCATGTGCTATGTCCATCCTTTGTTTTGACTGACTGCTTTGTTTTGTCACATTTGGCTTTATTCTCTTCCATAAATAAAAAGTAATAAGAATTGTGGGAGTAATAAAACCCAAAATGTGAAAATGTTATTGTAAAAAAGAGAGGAAAAGAAAGTGCTCTAAAGGATACAACTGCAAGTGTGTTTAGGTGTGTAAGATAGATGACCATATTACTAAGCTTTTGTTGAATCACTGAGCACAACTGTTTGTAATCTCACTGTTTGTATATCCACTTTGTATGCTTTAATTTTGTAACTCGAACAACTATTTCTAGGATGACAATATGTAATCTATTAACTAGTGATTTCTTACTGTTTTTTTTTTTTTTTTTGAAATTCGGTATTACTTGTACCCTTTTACTGTTTTGTTTAAACAATATTTTAAAATTTAATTAAAAACAAAAAAATACAACCCC